TTTTTTTTGTATGTGTGCTAARGATCGAACCCAGCRCCGCACGCATGCCAGGTGAGCRTGCTACCGCTTGAGCCACATCCCCAGCCCAAAGCTACAATTTTCCTTTTCATTAAAGACCAGCACCCTGTGAGAATAATCAAGTCAATTAGCAATACTCATCTGTACTRCAACATAATATATCCAAAGGAAAGGTAGTGATTGTACTGATTTTATTATTTTTTCTAAGCCATTTTGTCTTCCTCCCACTCAATGCAAAGAAACAAAACATTATTTTTTTAAAAAGTCACTATTATGTACCCAAAACAAAGGGTCTGCTGCATCCTTTGACACTGGGCAACTTCCTCTACATGAATCACTTTAGGTCATCCACCATGATGAACCCCTTTCTCTCACAGGATCAGTCTTCATRCCTAGGTTTCTGGGCTGCCCAATTTCCTTCACTGCACTCCAGTGACAGTTTCAAAAAACAAGTTCCTCTGCAAGTCCCCTAGATTTAATTTTGCACTGGCAGAGTAAAAAAACTATCAAGGACATTATTGGGTCAACAGCCAAAATTGAAATATGAACCATCAATGTGATAACAATATTGTATTAATTTAACATTTTGGCACTGATAACTGTACTATARTTCTATAAAAGAATATTCTTATTCTTAGGCAATACATACTGAAGCAATTAGGGATCAAGGGTCTTGATATATACAGCTTTATTTCAAAAAACTCGAAAAAATTATGTAGGCATGGAGAGAGAACACAAAAATGATAAAGCAAGCAGCATACAAGTGTTTTCTGGATTATTTACATTCTTGAAACATTTCTGTAAGATTGAATATATTTYTAAATTTTAATGTTGTACCTATCAAAATACAAGACCATGAAAGTAGTAAAGAAGCCTAAAAAATTTTTTTTCAGGACTAGGKATTGAACCCAAGGCAAGCACTCTACCACTGAGCTATACACACAGCCCCCCATGAAAGGAAATTTTAAAAATAAAACATAAAACTCCCACAAATGACCCAATTAGGAAATGGGCAGAAGATCCAAATAGACAAAGAAGGTATACATATGGCCAATAGGCATATGCAAATTAACTCAACATCATTACTTGTTAAGGAAATACAAATCAAAGCCACATTGAGATACTGACTCACATTTATTATGAGGACTATTATGAAAGAAAGAAAGAGAAAAWAACAAGTGTTGATGAAGATGCGGAGAAATTAGAACACTTATGCATGGCTGGTGGAAATATAAAATGGTGCTTCCACTGTGGAAAACTGTATGGCAGGTCCTT